AAAAGCAGACTAAATGGCACCTTAAACCCCAAAGTCTGTGAAGGAACACGGTTAATCAAATGCACGGTTGTAAGAACTGCATAGGAACTGAAGCACACACCATAAGATTCTTGCCACCTCCACAACGTGTCTGTTTTTTTTCTCAGTAATTCCATTCTGTTGTGGTGTATATGCACAACTGCTCTGATGAATTACCCCATGTTCTAGGAAATACGTGGTTAGGTCCATCTCAAAGTACTCTTTGGAATTATCTGATCTAAAAACCTTAGTTCTCACTCTAAATTGTGTGAGAACCATCTGGTGAAACTGTCATACCAAGTTAGGAACCTCATCATGTGATCTTATCAAATATATCCAAGAATATCATGTATAATCATCCACAAACAAGATAAAGTAACGGAATCATCCCATGGAAGGGATATGATATGGCCCCCATACATCAATGTGAACAATATTAAAAGCAAAAGTAGTTCTTTTATTACTTGGTTTAAAAGGCTGTCTACAATGCTTTCCTAACTGACAACTCTCACACTCCAAAGTAGATAAYTRAACAGACTCAAACAACTTTGGGAAAAGACATTTCAAAGAACTAAAGAAAAGGTGCCCCAAGCGATTGTGCCAGAGCATAATCTGGTTCACTGACTCTGACCCACTACTACTGCTACTGCTAACATGATAGCTCTGATGTCTCAGAATCTCATCCAGAAGGTAGACTCCATTCACCTCATGACTACTCCCAATCATCTTCTTTGACTCCAGATCCTGCAAAATATGATTACCAGGAAGAAAGGTCATGGAACAATTCAAGTTCTTTGTCAAAGAACTAACAGGTAGTAGGTTGGTATGAAGTCTAGGGACATGTAAAACAGAAGACAGAGTTATATCATTGGTCACTCTAACTGTCCCTTTCCCAGCAATGAGAATATGTGAACCATCTGCTGTAGAGATTCAGTCTCTACCAGAACACAACTGATAGGAACTGAAAAGGGTAGGGTCATTATTCATGTGCTCAGATGCTCCTGAGTCTATAATCTAGGGAGGTCCCTCCTTACCTGAAGTGGATGCAAGATTTGTAGTTGAATATGAACTACCTGTATATGCAAAGGAAGAGGTGTAGTTGGCTCCTGCATTCTGTTGTCCATCTGGAATGCTAGTGCTAGGTGAATCTTTCTTACTCATAAGCTGTCCAAACCTCTCCAATTCTGTCCTCACTGCTGCTACTGCAATAGATTCTCAATCCGTTTGGGAAAGAGGGACCGAAGAGTCTCTTGTAGTGGCTACATCGCATTTCCCTTCTTGTTCCTTTTCCGGGCAGGCATAAGATTTGGATGAAGCTTCCAGCAAGTATCCCTAGTATGCTTAGGCTTCTTGCAATAATCACACACCAAGTCCTTCTTATCTTCCCTTCTAGTCTCATTACTCCCCCTGTCTCCATTCGGCTTTGGTTTTGTTGTACCAACCATAGCCGACTGGTCAATCCCAGGATGTCTCAGCATTACATTCCTCCTACTCTCCTCTCCAGAGACAAAGGCATAGGCTTGAGAGAGTGTCACACCCTTCCTAGAAAGAATATGCTGTCTAGCAATGTTGAATTCAGGGTTTAGCCCTGCCAAGAACTCAAAAACCCTATTCCTCTCTACCAGTCTGTGATAGGTTGTTGCATCATTTACACTTTCTCATACCACAGTTTCTAAGTGATCTATTTCCTTTCATAGAGTTTTTAGCATGGAGAAATACACAAGAGATTTTTCTCCTTGTTTCATACTTATCACTTGATTCCTAAACTGATAGGCTTTGGCTTCATTTTGTTTTTGAGAGTAGGTTTCAGTCACTCCATCCCAAATCTCCTTAGCAGTATTAGCCCATAGGAATTTTTTTGCAATATGAGGTAACATAGAATTACACAGCCAGGACATTACCATGTAATTCTCCTGCACCCATTGGGAAGAGTCTGTATCAGGTTTCTTCTCCTCTCCAGTAAGATACCCTAATTTTCCACAGGCACCAATAGCCACCTTAGCTGATTGTGCCCACTCCAAATAATTTGTACCATCAAGTTTTACTGTAGTAATGATCCCAGACCAAAAAATATCACTACTACCTCCAACACCCAGTCCCACAGTACTAGTAGATTTCATCTCGGTATTCCAACTCTCCATCTTACTTCAAACAGTTCAACAGTAAGAAAAAATAGATTGGAAACCTTCCAAAAACAATTTAATATCACACACACAGAAACAAACCCTTTCGGAAGAAGAAAACCCTAGCTGGAGAGAAATCTCTCTCCTCCCCATGCCTCCCAACAGAGAGAAGAGTGAATTGATCACTCCAGGAGGCTCAAAAAAATCCAGAAACGAAACCGCACTCTTCAGAAAATCAAAAGAAAGCTAACAATACCTAGCCGCCCAAGATCAGATAAAAAACAAAGAGTCCAACTTTTCTGGGACTCTTCCCCATACTCTAGTTCTTCTTGATTTTGATGCCGAACAATAGATAACCTTCCTGATGACTAGATCCCTCCAAAAAATCCAAGAATTGGGCAATCTACAGATGATCGATCAGCCCTTTATTACTTCATGTAGTCGGCTGATCTAGGGCTGCATGAAAATGCTTCTAGAAACCCTAGCCGCTACTCTGATACCAAGTAGAAAGCTTGCTGAGTTAAAAAATATGAAATAAAAGGATGAGAGAGATTAAGGCCATAAGGAAGAGAGAACAATGTAAAAAGAATCTTCTGCTAGTTGAACCTTTATCTCTGTTAGATAGCAAACTGTAGGATGTGAAGAGAGAGGGCTTACTAATCATGTGGTTTGAAGCCCCTGAGTCAATGATCCAGGAGGAGTCTCAAGGTAGAGAGGTGACATGGAAAGTTGAAGCATGGTCACTTGCTATAGATACAAATGAGGTAGATGGGGTGGGAGATACCCCCTCTAACTAGCATAAGGCCCTACCGCACTGCTAAAGCTGTTCTCTCAGGGAACTTTTGATATCTTCCTTGGAAGCCAAACTTGTAGGATGCTCCAGAGGTTTAAGTTGTCAAATTAGCTGAATTGAACTTCTTAGGTGTCAGTTTCTTTGTGTTCTTAGGCCTCCCAATCAGATTCCAATGGGTCTCCCTAGTATATCTAGGTTGTTGGCAGTGAGTACACCAAAGCTTATCCTTGTAATCACCCTCTGACTTCTTATTTCCATCATTCTTCTTTATGCCACTAGTACCACCTTTTGCTGCCAAAGCTACCTACTACCCCTTTGGAGAATTCTATGCATTCTCTTGCTTTCTTTAGATAGCACAAGTGCATATACTTCCTGAAATGAAGGAAGCTCCTTACTCCCTAGAATCTTCACCCTTATGGGTTCATACATAGGATTAAGACCCAATAAGAAAACAAACACCCTTTGCTCTGACACGAGTTTCTTAAACTTATAAGTCCTGGCATCACCTTCATCCTTCCAGTCAATAGTCTGGTAATGATCTAACTCCTTCCAAGTGGAGGAAGGAGCTGAATAATAAGCAGGAGACTTATCACCTTGTTTGCAGGTTGAAGATCAACTAGCAATTGATACACCCTTGCATAATGCCTCTGTTCAGCATAGGTGCTTTGGCTTGCTTCCAAATCTCAGCTGCAGTTTCAGCCCACATAGTGTTTTTTTTTTCCTCGCTTGAGGCTGCATGGAGAAAAGGGGCCATGACATTTTCTGTTCTTCTGGTTCCACCTGTCATGTTCTGCAGTACTTATTTTTGGTTCCTTCATCCTCCCATTGATGTAAATTGTCTTTCTCCTTCTGGTTATAAATAACCTAACACTCCTAGATGACTAAAAGTAGTTAGCCCATGGAAATTAATGCTGTCCATGCTATTACTAGTTATGGAAGAATACGAGGAAATCCTTGAGGTTGCCGAATCATCAGTAGACATGAATGCACACAGCCAAAAGGCTAGAGGGGGCTGTCACACCACTACAGACCACAACAAATGCTGTGAAGGCTATTCAGAAGGCCAATCTAACTCCTAGACAACAACAACAACCCCGCCCCCCCCGCCCAAAAAAAAAAAAAAAGGAATAAACGGCTCCAAACCAACACCCTCCAAACACATGAAGGAGAAAACCCTACAATATAGAAACACTGTTCCATGCTGAGAAAAACCTTCAAGATTCTGTTCACCAATCTGTTACTGTGTACAGGTCTCCTGGAAACATCCAAACTTCATTTGGCACTAACCCTTGCAGTCACACAGTCACACTGATCTTTGATCCTCAAAAACCATACAAATTGGGATCTGCGATCCTTTACTCATCCAAAGAATAACCTCCTTTGGTCCCACAAGGAGAAGAAAAAAGAAAAAGAAGCAGGAGATCTAGGTCAAATTGAATACTTCCTGTATGTCCCAAATTAGAAAAGATAATAACAAGGGAAAAAATAGCAGAAGGAAGCTTGACCACCTACGATCCCTGCTCTGATACCATATAATCCAGCAGAAAGTAAGAGAAAAATAAGGGAAGAGCATGCAGGAGAGGAGGAGAGAAGAATGTTTAAATCTCAAAAAGTGGGGCTGGCAGCATCCTCTCATTTATTTATATTAGGGTGACATAAGCTCAACATAAAATAAAGTAAAAGTGCAGATATAACCCCTGTGGCTACTACATATTATTACAACAGGAATATTGCAATGGGCAACCCTCTTTACTTTTCTGGGCACTAAACCCTAGATTATTTTTCTTCTTGATTAAGATAATTTCTGTCTTTCAAATTATTAAATTGCATATATTTTTACTTCTTTGTTAAATTGAGATTTACTGCCTTTCTATGTCAATGTGGTTGGCTGTACAGGCATGGCTAACTGGAGATGTGGAAACATTCCAACTTTTTTATTATGGAAGTTTATTTAATGTTTATTCTCCTATTGGATTTAGACAGATCTATGTACATATTGTTTTGTTCTATTTTAAATCAGCATTAATTTTTATACCTAATTTTGTTAAATGTTTGGTGCTTCATAGACTGGTGTATTAGAAGATGCAAGAAATCGATTGTTGCAAGGGATAGTCATTGTTCAAAAATTGTTCCGTGGTTGTCAAGCTCGTCGTTATTTCCGAGAACTGAATAGAGGAATAAGTACCATGCAATCATGTAATGCATACGAAGCGATTCTATTTCAATGGTTTCCATTTTATAAACATTCTATTTACTTGTTCTGTGATGATGATGGATATTGACATAATTTTGTCTCTACGTATATGATGGAACCAATTTTACTTGGTCAGTTGGCCTTAATCAGTTGCATATGTTTTTCTTTCCTTCTCTTTTGTTTTTTGCCCCCCCGCAAGGTAACAATAGGTTGTGTCTTATTGGACTTAATGTGCATTCAGTTGTCAGGGGTGAAAATGCAAGAAAGGAATATCAGGTTTTGGTAAAGAGGCAGAAAGCAGTTTTTCTCATACAGAAGCATTTGAGACGGAAGATTGCTCTTAGAAAAATCAATGATAAACAGAAGGCTGCCATTCTTATGCAGTCTGGTATATTTTTGTTGATTGTACATGCTTGTGGCTGTTCAATTGCATAAAATATCCCCCTCCCTCCACCTTTTCTCTTTTGGTTCTGTTGATAACTCTACATATTTTTTCCAGCAACTCGTGCTTGGCTGGCTAGAAGGCGCTTTAATGATATGAAGAATTTGGTAAACTCAAATCTCAGTAATGAAAAGCCTGAAGCTAATCCAGATAAGGAGATTCCACAAAGGGTATTTCTATCTGGCTTGTACCTATTAAATAAGAAAATGTTTCTTTCTACCAGCTGTTCCTAATTGATAAATCATAATTACTTCCTCTGTGTAGTACTAGGAGAATGCTTCATCCATATGGTTCCAGATGGATTGGCATTTCTTCATATCTGAGTTCTATAAAAAACAATCAGTTTGTTGCAATGGGGTGCCTCATGTAACTTATAAATAGGGTCAAATTCTTGAAATATGACTCAGGAACTCCATGGACTACTACTGTATTTTGTTTTCCAAGATTCTGAGGGATGCTTTTAGGATTACATTGTCCAATTATGATATCTTTTGTAGAACAAAAAAACAATGTATAAAATTTCCCCATGTCTATGGCTGTAAAAAAGGAAGCTAGATATCTACTGTTCTGTGTCCTATTGAAATGGATTTGAGCTTCTATTTGGATAAGTGAAGAATGCTGTAATTCTTGCTTCTTTCACAGGATGTTGAACAGGAGCATGTTCAGGTTCAATCTTCAGCTTTGGCGGAGCTCCAGAAACGAGTCCTGAAAGCAGAAGCAGCATTGGCCCAAAAGGAAGAGGAAAATGCTAAACTGCAGCTGCAACTTCAGCAATATGAGCAAAGGTGGTTGCACTATGAGGCAAAGATGAAATCCATGGAGGAAATGTGGCAAAAGCAGATCACATCCTTACAGGTAGCTTTACCTTCACTGGAAGAAAGATGGGAATATCTATTATTAACAGATTTGTAGCGGGACACACAGACATGAACGTTTATACTTCTAAATATATCTCTTTTCTTTTTATTTGAATTGAAATATCTTATTATATCTTATTGGAGCTTTTAATAGTGGGACACAAACACATACACATTTATACTCTCTGTTTTGACATTTTTCCAGTATAGTGCATCTATTTGGGCTTTCAACTGAGCAATGGGGTCACGTCTAGATGCTAACCATTCTAGTCTTGTTGTGATGCAGATGAGCCTAGCTGCAGCCAAGAAGAGTCTTGTTGCAGATGAAATTGCAGGCCAACTTGGAAGGCCTGTTGCTTCACCAGTGCCTCACAATAATGGTTATGAGGAATCAATGTCTGTGGGTACCCAAAATCCAGATGACACCATGCGAATCATATTACCTAACCCACTTTCCGGGTCTGGTAATGTACCTGGGCGAGTGTCTGATACTGGTCTCATTGCAGTCAATCAGCTGAGGAAGGAATTTGAGAAACGGAAACAGGTCTTTGATGATGATCTCGAGTGTATTCTGGAGGTCAAATCAGGACAGTCTACTTCCAATAGGAACCCTGATGATGAACTTCGGAAGCTGAAGCTAAGATTTATGGCCTGGAAGAAAGACTACAAGATTCGGTTATGGGAGACAAAGGCAATGTCCCACAAGCTTGGGAACTCAGATATGGATAAGAATCATAAGAAATGGTGGGGGAAGAAGGGTGTGAGAGGCACGTAGTATATTGAATTCTTAAAATTTATTCCGTCTTTACTGGCCATTTTTGAGTTATTTAGCCTCGAGGTGGCCAGTGCTTCTCATGCAAAACTGGGGGGATACTGCATTGCAGCAAGGGAGAAAGGAAATAGGCAAATAGCTCGAGCAGAATTTGAAGAGAACATTTATGGGAAGGCCATTTTTATGGCATTTCCAGTGCAGTTCCCACCCACCCATTCCTGACTGCATCTCGGGTGTTTCTGGTCTGTGAGAGTGTGGTTGGGTTGCAGGAGGGGCAGCCGTTGAGAAGAAGATTGGATATCTATCTAACATTTTTTTTATTTTGGAGGAATCTTATCCTTGTTTATAGCCAAAAGGGCATGCGAAAGGGTTTTTCCTTGTGTAAATTCTGTTATCGTTCATGTAACCCCAAAGTATATAGCATTTTCTTTTTGTTGATAAAGAAAAAGATTCATTAAACCAAGAAAGAAGAGGGCAAAAACAAGAGAAAAGCCAAACTAATATCACAGCAAGAGGAAACACCAAGAAAACAAGCAAAGAAACAAGACTCACACGACATATGCAGCGTTGTAAAACCCAGATTTTGCTACCGCATGAACAGCAGAATTAGAGCTTCGAGAGCACCAACTGAACTAGTACCGAACCTGAATGGTCTTCCATCATACAACTAACCAATTGCAGCGTTTTAACATGTTATGATCCTTACGGAACGCAGAATATGTCCATGGAAATGAGAGGTCATCGTGCAATCACTTCTAATGCTGTGTTTGATTTGATAGAAAATAAGAGAACAAAAAAAGGAAAATTGAAGGAAACTTCTTAAGGATTGGATTGATCCGTTGGACCTTGGTAGTTGAGTTGCTCATCTGCCACAATGGTTATACTTTTTGTTTGATTTTAAAACATGGATCTTATATTATTGAAGAGTGTTGAATATATATTTAATTAGGGTCCATTTGGTCCATTGCTCAAACGGCGTTGTTTGAGTTTTTATTGACACCCATCTAACTAAATATATAAACAGGACTACTTTTCAAGAAACGAATACATTTCAATTTTTAGTTGAAACTCCGACTGTAAATGCATTTTGTTAATGGGTTTCTGGAGCCAAATGCCAATGGAAACGAAAATAAACTTTGTTTGATTTCATGGGGAACTCGTGCTTATCCAATATAGCAGTTGCTGACTTACACTGATCTGGTCCTCTTAAGTATAGAGAATATGAAAATAGCACCAACACCAGAATTATTACAAGATATTCAATCTTAATAACTGATAAACATAAGATCCACTCTTCAAATCCCACTACATAATCTACAGAAACACTTCACATATTTGTTCATTTTCACAAATTAACATGGAAGCAAAGAACTGCAATGAAATCTAGGATCCTGGAACGAATTTAGTGGCATAGACCCATGCATTGTTAGCAACAGGGTTGTCGAGGTGGTCCAAGAGGTTCTCGAGAGGGCCCTTGCCAGTAACTATAGCCTGGACGAAGAACCCAAACATGGAGAACATGGCGAGCCGACCATTCTTGATCTCCTTCACCTTGAGCTCGGCAAATGTGACAGGGTCATCAGCAAGGCCTAGTGGGTCGAAGTAGGTTCCACCAGGATAGAGGTTGTTTCCCTCGCCAACTCCTGGAAGGCCATTGATGCGGAAGCCCTCGACCAGTCCCATGAGCAGCACTTGGAAGGCTAGCACTGCCAAGATGCTCTGAGCGTGGACAAGGTTGGGGTTGCCCAGATAGTCAAGCCCCCCTTCAGAAAAGATCTGAGCTCCAGCTTTGAACCAAACTGGTTCCTTGAAGTCCACTCTGACCCATTTCTCAAGAACTTCTGGGGTGATGCACCCGAGTGCGCCCAGCATAGCCCATCGGCCATGGATCACCTGACATATTTCATGCATAAATATATCAAAATAGATAATTTTTTCATGGAAGAAAAGCGATAAGAAAACAGGATCCCAAACAGTAAGAGGATGCTGATGGTCGATGGATTACCTCAAGAGCCCTGTTCCTGGCGAAGGCCTCTGGGTCTGCTGATAGTCCGGCAGTGTCCCAACCGTAGTCACCTGGAAATTCTCCGGTGAGGTATGAGGGGGTCTGAGCAGAGAAGGGTCCCAAGTACTTGACGCGTTCTGGTCCATACCATAACTCATTCCCCTGTTAAATTTACAGAGTATGCTTCACTCATACAGCAACAACCCAACAAGGAAAACCTAAAAGACAAACAAAAGATGAAGGCCAACACTGAAACCTATCTGGTTCACTACTTAGTACCTACCATAGTGAACTTGCCAGTTCCCATGGAAATGACATCTCTAAGTGGGTTAGCGTTGGATCCCCGGGTCTGACCCAAGAAGGGGCTTGGTCTAAGGACAGTGCTGGAGCTGGCGGATGCTGCCATGAGTGTAGCCACCATCTTTATTACCTTCCTGTCCGAGTTGCCGGAAAGGACCGAGGAGTTTTGAGTATTGAGTAGTTGTTTCAGTTGGAGCTGACCAAGGTGTTGATGGTTGTGAGAAAAAATTGCAATCCGGAGAGTAAGCAAGTGAGCTGAGAGCAAGTCTAGAGAGGGGGAATCTAAACGGGTGGCTAGAAATGTTAGGACTTAGGAGGAATGTTCTAGTGGGGATTTTGAGGTCTCAATCAACCAATAGGAAGGCTTTAAAGGATATGAAGCATCTCCAATTCATATCACTCTATCCACATTTTATCTTGTTCTCTAGAAAGGGTCATGTCGAAAAGAGACATAGCCATCAAAACTCTATTGAATGGGATCCAATCCATTAAGAAACTTTGAACCGCACGATATGACCCCAACCATCATTCTCTAACCCCTTTGGCTTTTAATTTTCATTTCCACGGTTCGTGTGGAAGAGAGTGAAGGGGATGGGTGGCTTGAACTGAATTTGGACTGTCATACGAGCAACTTGGTCTAGTCGTTCTGAACAGTTTGCTTCTCAGCATACTGGGCTGCAGATAAAATTACTCTGCATTGCATCTATTAGTAAAGTTGGTCTGAATGTTGTGTATTTATTAAAGAGTCGTATGTTCAAAATGTACAACATCAAAGTCATTGCTTTAGTTCAGTTTCTTAATGGTATTCAAAACATATAACATTCTGATCAATTTTAGTTTAATTTCCTAATGGTAATCAATATCCAAATTTAATCTGAATTTGATCCATAATCTGATGGATAAAGTTCGATTCCAATCTGAATAAAAAATAATCAAATTAAATTTAGAACTTTCTATCAAAAGAAATTAAATTTAGATCTATGTTATCTAATTATCCAATTCCATCCTGATAGTGCACGATCTGGAAGCTCCTAGCTGGATGATGATTTGGATCTTAGTCGTGTAGTGAACTGGACCAAGCTACAAGACAGAGGATTAGAGAACCTGTGGCGGTTAACCCGGCGAGGTCGCTCTGATGCTTAAGCCAATACTATGTTGTGATTGCAAAATAGAATCTGAGTGCTAGAGAGCTTGGATGCAAGTAATCGTGCGTGTACTTGGACCATGGAGGGGTTGATGCCTTTATATAGTTGAGTTATTGCAGGTTTCTCGAAATAGTTTCGAGATCTGCGGCTTGAATGGATGAGGTATGTTCCCGCTTTTGTCGGGGAGTAACGTATCAGTCAATGAACTTCATTATCACCGCCCGATTCAGATGGGGAGAAGATAAGGCTTGTCGTTATAAGGTATAATCCCGCAATATTAGAAGTCTACTGGGAAGCTACTGGGATTGATTACGTGTCACTTCGGTTCCTGGGCACCAAACTAGATTAGCCGCCGAGGTGACCTGTTGCCGAAGTGACTTTACGCCAAGCTTCGCATACCGCTGATTAGGCTCCCCTTGTTGAGTTGTCATCTGACATGGAAATCGCGTCCACGTGACTTTTATTTACTAGGTCATGCCAAATTACTCCTCATCAATTGCCCCCCACTCCTCGTGGTAGGGGTCCTAACCCGGTGTGGGGAGTTCACGACGAGCTTAGGTGGATTTGGCGCGAAATCTAGGTGATGTGGAGGGGAGTCGCTAGTCGGACCTATTCGACCATTCAGTTCAACCAAGAAGTAACCCAGATCACATACCCGGTACACGCAGACGTCAAGCCGTTTATAGACTCTGTGGATGGCAAAACACGTGCTAAATCGATTTCAACCTTGGTGGGAATGCAACCGAATTTCCTAGGAGTCATCGGATCGTGTTGATCTTGACCATTGATTCCCGGATATACTGGCTATAAATAGGGGCCAAAGGGCTCATTTTCTTCGCCACAAGTCTGCAAATCCGCAATCTTTGAGGTCGCGCTTAAGTCTTCCAATTCGGTATCAGCCCTTTCTGGGTCCGAGGTCGCCTCTTTTTCTTCGGTCTTCCTTTTGGTGAGTCTGCCTTCCTTTGATTTTTTTCCTTTTGATTCCGTTGTCCTTTCCTTTAATATGTCTAGCCTTAGCTTAGATAGTCTTCTAGATGGGAGCGGCGAGTCCGCTGGGGCCAAGGTGGGTACCTCGGCTTAGACCGTGGATCCTCATCCTACCGAGGTGGTCACTTCAGGATAGGACGCGGTCCTCAGTCTGCCCGAGGTGGACTCACCTCGACGAGAGCAAGAGGCTTCTGGTAAATCAGCTTCCACCTTACATTGAGGTTGGCTACCAAACAACTTCGGCCCATTGATAATGACGGCAGACAGGCTTGTAGCCTTAGTAGCCCAGTACAGACTCCCTGACAACCTTGTATAAGCATCCCCTTAGGCAACTTTCCTTGGGATCATGATCACAACGAGATCGTGATCTTCGAGGAGTAGCTCGTAGCCAGTTTGTGTCTTCCACTTCACCTTCTTATAATCGAGATCGTTAAATTCTTTAACATTACCATATACCAGCTACACCCGAACTCTATCCGTAACATCGTAGGGACCATTTCTCTTTTCCACGATTACAACTGTCCCCTTGACCTCGACGTCTTCTCTTCAATCCTTTCCATTAAGAAAAACTCGTCCTGCGTTCTGCCCGAGCACAGGCGAACTTACTGCTTGTCTCCTTGTCCCAGGTACAAATTGTTGCACGAGCTCCCTAATAAGGTCCCAGCCTAGAAGAGGCGTTACTTTGTGGTCCACAACACCGACGGGTGGCCCTTCCCGACTCACTGGAGGGCAGCCATATAGGACCCTGGCGTTAGACTAGATCTAAAGACAAGGGAGGAAGTCCGATCTTGGGCGGAGCTCGGCCTGAAGTTTGAAAACTTCGTGACCGAGGAGAAGCTCGTGCAGGCAGGCCTAAGTCCTCTTGGTAGGTCGCTATTTGCTGTACATTTTCTATTCATTTTACTTCGGTATTGTATCTGACTTAGCTCCTTTTTTATCACAGTTGCCATGGACGACATCCCTGCCGATGAGCTCTTTTGGAGTATGAAGAAGGGGAAGAAGAAGAAGAGGGCCTCAAAAAAGGCTCGCGTCGAGACCGAAGCAGCCACAACTGAGGCTGCCGTTCCTGAGCCCGAGCACCCACCAGTTGTTGAGCAGCCTCCCATAATCGATTTGGTCGAGGAGGCTACATCTTCAGAAACCGTCCCAGCAACCGCCACTTCTTCGGGCAGCGATGCTCCAATTCGGAGCATTTTGACTCCGAAGTTTGGCCTTCTCAAGAGCAAGGATGTGGTGTTCACTGAAGAGGTCGCTCGTTGGGCCGACATGCCAGTTGCTCAGCTTGGGGCCCGAGCGGCCACACACTGCATGGCGGTATGTTCTTGAACTTGTCTTTCAAATTGTCTTGTACTTAGATTTTTCGTATACTGATACTTGTTTTCTTCTCTTGGAAGATGAACCCCTCCATTCACGCCTTGGCTTATCAGTCCGAGGCGAACCTAAAACGGACTCTCGAAGCTGAGGAGTCTTCTCGAAATGCCCACATTGAATTGAACTTAGTTCGCAATGAAAGAAACCAATTGAAGAACGACGCGCGAGCCAAGAAGGAGCTGCTAGCTCTGCTGATGTCAGAGAAGAAGGAGCTGAAGGAATGGAAAGATCCATCATATGGTCGTCCGGATAAAGCGGAATAGAATGGGTGAATTTCAAAATTTCTTTCCTTCCTACGAAGGTGTGTTGGACAGTTTTTGTATGCCCTTAGCTTCAATCAGTTTTGATGTACATTTGATATTTAATGTAAATAAATGAAGTACATGTTTGATTCATGTTGTGTGGTATATTTCTGTGTAAGACCCTAAAA